TTGGGAAAAGCCTTCCTGATGCGACGGGAACAAGAGGGCCTGGGATCCAAGGAGGCACATCTGTAAGGCCGAGCGCCCCGCGGGAGCAGAGGCCCCTCCCTGCCCTGAGCAGGCCAGGGATATGCAGGCTGGGGTTGGGCCCTTTGTGGAAAAGAAGCTAAGTTCATGAGAGTCTGGTCGTCAGTCTCTGAACCCACCTTCTCTCCACAACAGCCACGATGATGCCAAAAAGTCCTGGCCTAGGCGGACCCGGGACCCTGGGCTGGCCAGCGCCTGCTGAAGGCTCCTTGTGTCCTTCCCCACGTTTCCGTGCAAAACGGAGGCGAGACTACTGATGTCCGGCCGACGGCAGCCGCAGGAGCTGCCAAGCCAAGGCCAGTCTCCAGCACCTGCGCATGAAGCCACAGTCCACACCCCAGGGTGAGGCCGGGGTGCAGGGGCCGGGGCGCAGGGCTCAGAGCATGGACCTGGAGCACGGAGGCTCGGGTGAGTGCAGCGGCTGAACCCCGCCAGGCCCGCGCAGGCCGGTGTCCCCTCAGAGGTGGCCCGCGCCAGGCCACGCGGCCAGCTCCTTCAAACCCAGGCCGGTCACTCCCGCCATCTCCTCTCCCAAGGCCCTCGGGGTGGAAGCCTCTCGGCTGCGGCGCCCTGGCTGCCCGGCCCTCGGGGCTTAGGCTGGAAACTGCTCACGTGTGATGGGGCTCGAGAGGCGGGACCGCGGTGTGAAATGATCCGAGAGCGCGGAAAATTGTTGTCAGGTGTTGGCACTTGAAAAAAAGCACTGCATCTTGTTCCCATTGGCTCCGCGGAGCTTCCGCCAAGCACTTTCTGCCTTGGTCCTGTTGAGAGACCATCAGCGTGAGAGCTGACCCCGCCGCCCCGGGGCCCTCCCCGCAGCCGGCGGCAAGTGGGGTCTGCAGACACTCGTGCGCTGGGGACCGTATCTGTCCCCCGCCCCACTGGCAACACGAGGCACAGCTGTTTGCAGGCGCAGGAGTTGCTCGGCGTCCGTGCCTCTGGCGCCCTGACCACGGGGTCTTGCGCCAGCCGTGCCGTTGGGGGAAAGCTGACCAACATCGAGGGACCTCCGAAGCCTCTCGAAGCTCAGGACTCACAGGTCCTGTCTCGGCTCTGGCTTCCCTGCCGGGAGGCGCTCACAGCTGTGTCCTGGAGGGCGGCGGTCACCGGAGGGGCCGTCGCTGGGGGATGGCCAGTGGTGTGGGCCCCTGAGCCCCCTGGTGTGGTTGTCCCCTCTTTCCTGCAGATCAGTCCCGCCCTGCTGCCTCCCGCCTCAGCCTGGAGGCCCCACCTCCTCCCGGGAGCCCACCATGGCCTGCGGGGGGCGCCGGTCTCTGCCTGCGCCGCCTCAGGGTGCAGGAATCGGGAGGACCCTTCTGAAGCCGGGCCTCGGGCTCAGAGGCGGGAGAGCGTGTGCGTGTGTGCGCGTGTGCGTGCGCGTTCAGAGAGAGGGGAGTGGGAGAGAAATACAGAGTACCCGGAATTATCTATGCATAAAGAAATTAAAAGAGAATATTTTCCAGAGCAATTGAAGCCCATCTCCTGAACAATGACGACAGCTCCTCATTCTCGACAACAATAGAGGGCACGTAGGAGTCAGCTCATTAGAATATCTGTGGCTCCTTTCTGTTCTCTCCGCATTAAGCCCCCATAATGTCAGTTGTCACTTATTAATGACAATTAACTAGTAATCAGCAGTGAGACTCTTCGAGGTGGTCTTTGCCTGACAGGTGAAGAAAGAGAACATTGCGTAGTGCCACGCGGTGACATGGAACCTTCAAAGGGAGTACGGCATTTCCATAAATTATTTCAGAAAGAAATTTTCTTTTATACATTCTCTCTAAAGCTTAAGGATCTTTAACCCTAGCAAGGCCACGCTCTGATTCCCCTCCGGGCGGTTCCTTTCTCACCAAGCGACATCTCAGCACCAGCCACCGTGGGTCGGGCGGCTCTGGGCACACTGCACACACCCTCTGGGCGGCTACCACCCGCCCCCCTTCTGGCATCTAACTACTTAGCAGTAGTTGCCCCCACTGTGGCACACCTCTGTGGCTCCCGCCGCCAGCGCCGGCCTCAGCCGTGTCCACCCCGCAGCCGCCGGTGCTTCGCGCTGCGCCAGCCACTCCGCTGGCCTGGGGCCTGGGGCCTCGTTCTGTCCTCAGAGCCTCTCAGGTGCTCTCCCTGCTCGCCAGCCCTCCTCACACGGGGGCGGCATGAACGCAGCCTTGAAGAACACAATGGAAACCACTGTGGGGCCAGGGACGAGGCCCCTCCCACGGCTCCTTCCGGAGAGCAGGGCCAGCTGGCCCAGCGGCCGACCCCTGCCCACGCACCCCCAGGCGCACCTGCTCCCCGCCTCCCTCCGCCCGGGGTTCTCACAAGCGGAGGCGCTCAGCTGGCCCGTGGGGCTGCAGGACGAGGGAGACACTTGGAAAGTGAGGAAGACCTCACGTTACCACTACAGGAGAAATGTTTGTCTACGGGACATGGGGTCTTAAGAAAGTCCCAATTTGACCTTAAGAGAGATGTGAGACACCGTCGTGGGCGGTGGGGGGGGGAATCCAGTTGGTGGGCAACCGGGGAGAAGCTCTGCACCCCTGCATCGTCAAGTTCACGTTAGAAAAGAAAACAGTTGGCCACGTCTGTTCATGTCCAGGTCACGCAGATGGCAGGTGACTGGTCTCCTGGCCTGGAAACCACCACAAGGCGGAAGGGCTTCGAAGCTGGACCCGAAATACCGGACTGTCTGTGCCTGCGCTGGGGGTGCGTTCTTCAACGGGAAGAGGTAACAGATTTAAATATGGAAGCATCTCATTTATAAAGGGAGGGTTGCTTATTTAACACAGAAAATGTAAGAAAAAGAAGAGGCCATCAGGAAGAGGACCTTCGAGGCCCCTTTTCAGAGCCTCAGAGCCTGCTGCTTTCTCCTGAGACCGGGGCGTGACAGGGACTCGACGCTGCTGCCCTCGGTGGGTTTTAGAGTCTGTGACATCACGACGCTTCCATGACAACAAATCCAGTATCGTCACTGTAATGTAGGAGGGAGTAGTCACGTTAAATTTAAGAAATAATCACCATGGGAAGGATGCAGCTTTAAATGCCCTCCTGTGTAAAAAACATTTTTCACAGAAATCTGAAGTTTGAGCAAGGCCCTTTCCATCACGTTTCTCCTTGCAGATTATTTCAGATTTTCATGCCTTTGATTTCCACCAGCTGATGAAGATGTAAAGACCCCAGTCACAACTTTTAGAGTCCGGCGTGGGTGAGGCCGTGCATGACGTCATTCAGTCCCATGAAATCCCGTGGCCTCTCGAGCCCAGACCGACGTGGAGCACCTGTCCCGGCCGGCCCGTCCTGGCACCCCACGTGTCCGCATGAGGGCAGGGGTTGCCAGCACGTCGGCAGAGAGATTTGGAATGTGGCATTTGGTTTTACTAATTTATAAATAAGTGTATTATTAAAGATTCTACGGTTGAAATTGGGAATTTCAATAATTAACTGGCTAATCATTAATCAATATAAATTGGACATAATAATACAAACTATTTATCCAAAATCTACCACTTGGAAATATGACTCAATAGCTACTGTAAAACTATTCAGAACATAAAAGATTCAAAAACTCCCACTTTTCTTAGTGTTATTGTTACATAGCACTCATTATACACCCCCATATTTTGTTATCCTGCACAGAGAAAAGGAAATTCTTGGTTTCAGTCATTTGGATAAAATTGGAATGGTTACCCTGAAAGCATACTTAAATGCATAAAAAATTACTGAAAGGAAAAAAGTGTTTTCATCTGGGGATGGGGATTAACAAGTCCTGGACAGTCCTGGAAAGGACTGTAACAAGTTCTGGAAAGTCCAGCTGGGTACAGCCTCGCTGGAAGAACTTGGCTGGGGAACCGGCCGGCAGCGCGGGATTCTCCCGAGTCACGCGCTCGTTCAGACACCTCCACCCCCGTGTAAGGCTCCTCGGCCCCTTTCACTGTCGTACGTTGTGGTCAGACAAGTTTTCAGAGAAAAACACCCCTGACATTTCAGGTTAGTGTCATTCTCTAGGTCTTAAAATCTCCTTTTAATTCATCTCCAACTAGAAAACGTTTTTTTAAATTTATGTTTAAATATGTTGATGTGAAATGAGCAGAGAAAAGACAAATGCCCTAGGATCTCACTACAGGTGGAGTGTTTTAGAAAAGCCAAGCTCGCAGGTAGACTCGCTAAGAGAGCAACGCTGAAGCACCCTCGTGGCAGGAAAAGACCTGGCTCTGCCGGGGCCACCTCCACCATGTGTGCTTGTGCACGCGTGTGCGCCTTGCGCAGTCACGCTGCACGCCCGGAACTGGGGAGGGAGCTAAGTGGCCACAACATGGCAGTGAAAAGCATGACACGTGCACTTCTCGAATATTTTAGCAAAACATGGCCACAGCTGTGAGCCCACTATCCCTCCAACCTGCTCAACCCCTGGGTCAATTTTCTGTGACCAACACCCCTCCACGCCGGGTAGATCCAAGTGTGTTCTTGTGTGACGTGCAGGAGCACAGACCAGGGAGCTGGGGCCAACGTCCACATCACGTCACTGAGGCCCCAGACTGCCCTCCAGCCCCCCAACCCCCGAGAGCGGCTTGGGCTCAAGGCGGCCGCTGGGGAACCAAGGCCCTACGGTCGGTGACCTGCTCCTGGCAGGAATCCGTGGAGGCCGCTACAGCAAGGCCACCACGGTCTGAAAGCCCTTGAGCTTTAACTCTGGCCAAGCTAACCTGGGGGAGGCGGTCAGAGGAGTGTTGAGACCGCAGCACTTTCTTTGCTTCTGCCCCTCCCAGTGGGTCAGCACCAGGGACGAGGTCACACCTCACTGGGCCGTCCAGTTTACTTTGAGATCTTCATTTCCCTGGTCAATACCAATCAGGAATCATTAACAAAAACCACAGAACTTCCCCTCCTACAGGCGGGTAATTTAAAGACAGCGCTAAGGGCCTTACCTGCCTGAAGTCCTGTGGCCGTGTGAACGAGATGTCGTCTGGGGGCTAAACGGGGTGGGCAGCGGTCAGGTTCCTGGCCCCGAGTCCCCAGGGAGCTGCAGACTTCAGCTAAGCACCCCCTCTCCTTTTTGTGGGTGTGTGTGCAGCTTATCCGCACTGGTCATCTGAGCTGAAAAGACCATAAATCACGTGAAAGGCCTCCCCAATGTTGACCCAATGTTGATCTTTCATCTCTGCTCTTATTCCAACTTCTCTCTGAGTAATACCGACAGGCAATAAACATCACAAGTATGATAGATCACACCACAAAGATGACGTTGGACAATCAATGACGACGACCAGCATTTTAAAAAACAATCCTCGAGTTGACAAGGAAAAGGCGCGCAGCACGAGTCGCCCGCCGCCGGCTGTGTAGGCGGGAATGAGGCTCCTGCCAGCAGCTGGGCCGCGGGCACCAAAATCCTACACGATACAGAAGGTTCACTTCTAGGTCCTTGTTGTAAGGAAATAATCAGAAATGCAGATGAAGATGGTGAGTGGAATGTTCTGTGATCTCATTTGTAATGGTGGAAACGTCAAAAGAATCTAAGCATTGTTTCTTAAAATTCTAACTAATAGAGAAGCTCATTGTGATCTCAAGGAGAAAGTCTTGACGTTATCTACCAGCAGATAAAAGCAAACTACAGGAGTTTGTTGATCAGGATCTCTATTTTGCAGAGACATGAGGGGAAAGATGCTAGCACTAAAACAGTGATTTTTTTTTGTCTAGATGACAATAAGTTAAACTTTACTTCTTTCTTTACTTTTTGTGTTCCAGATTTTCTGCGGTGATTACACATTAACTTTATTCTAAGAATAAGATACATGCAAAAACTAAAAATCACCTCCAAATTTTATGTTTTGGTATCTTTTAAGTTTACCTTTCAATAATTGGCTTTCAGTGATTTCTATTATAGTCACAGAAATAATAATAATAAAGTAACAAGAAATTTTATAATAGGAAAAAAGCAGAAACTTTTTTGTAAGAGCAGTTTTCTGAAAATTCAAGGCCATGCAAAGGCAGGTGGGCAGAAGTTTGTAAAGCAAATCCCCACTGAGGGGTGACCAGCCCCTCCTGGCACCAGGCTCCTCTGCCTGTCGCCCTTCAAGTCCAGGTTCTGTCACAGCAGGTGGCCCTGTGTTCCGGCGAGGATGCCCTGAACTACCACAGACATCACTCCAACTTATTTTTCAAAGCCAACAGAAGACAGGGCTAGTGAGTCTGGAGGAGACTGTGAACCAGGGTTGGCGTCATGCCCTCAACGGAACACTCAGCCCTAGTGCCCACCCTACGGGAGAGACCCTGGCCCACAAGGGTGCAGCCGATGCCCTGGGACAGAGCATGCCAGGACCCCAGGCCTGTGGAGCAGTGAGAGCAGACTGGCTGGGGCTGCCTGCACTTAGGCCCAGGTCCTGCCTGACCACCAGCCAGGCAGCCTCAGCTCCTCACCTGTAAACAGTGTCCGGGCCCTCCAAATCCAGCCGTGGGGCCTGGGCACTGCCCCGAAGGAGCCCGGCAGTCCTGGTGCTGGTCAGTGCCCTGTGAACCAGTGGGTGCCATCTTTACCAGCAACACAGTGGATCCTGGACACAGTCTCCAGCCTGTGCTGGGGACCAGGGACGTGATGAGACAAACATGCCGAGGAATCGAAGGAAAGATTAAGACAGAAAACCTGAGTTCTGTGCCGCGCCCAGTGTCAGACCGTGTCTCCACTGCCTCCACATCTCTGTGAGGACGCAGACCGTGTCTCCACTGCCTCCACATCTCTGTGAGGACGCGGGGTGGAGGCCAGGTCACTCCCTGGGGGCTGCCATTCGAGGACCCACACTTTGCCCCAGGCCTCACCATTTTCTTCACCAGCACCCTTAATAACAGCCTCCAGCGATGCTACCTATCACCCATTAGTGAGTCAAGTCTCAAAGGCTTAAGTTCCTGAAGGACTGGGGATTTACCAGGGGAAAGAGCCAGAAAAATCAGCAGCAGCGGCAGGGCCAAGACTGCAGGACGCACCCCCGCCACCACCACCACCCTGGCAGCAGGGCCACAGCCTCCGTGGGCAGCCGGGCGGCCACGCGCCAGCTGAGGGCTGCTGCGCCCACCCGTGAGCCCAAGCCTTTCTCAGGACGGGCCTTCATGAGCCTGTAAGCAAAGGAGGCATGTCTCCCACACACGTCAGCAAGAACTGCAGGGCGAGAGCCGAGGGCGAGGCCAAGGTCTCCCCGGGGCAGACCTGGCAGTGCCCCAGCCCCGGGCTCCTCGCACTTACATGTCGTCTGGGTGGTCTCCTCCATGGAGCTCTCGGCTCTGTGCAAGCTGAAGAATAAGGCTGGGCCCAAACACTGAGTGAGCAACTTGTTTTCAAAAAATTGTCCATATATAAAAGCTCAGAAATCAGGCCTCTGTCTTTGGAGCAACGGGCAGCAGCCCCAAGGCCCCCGAGCTGCTAGGGCAGGACCCCTCCCCCCCATTATTAAGTCCCCGCGCACACACAGGCCAACACAGGCATTTGCAGCAGTGCAGGAGGACACTCCCGGCCAGGCCTCGCCTGCACAGGCGTCGGTCGCTCCAGGCTACACTCGGAGAGGCCAGCACCAGTGGGGCTAAAAATTGTAATTATCACTTAAAAAAAATGCCATGCTCATCATCCGAATGAAGCATGTCAGCACACAAATCATGAAAGGATGATTCTGAATAGGATCTTTGTTGGCTGATTGCATAGGCAATACCTCTTGTTGCTGAAATAGCATCTCAAAGGCAAAATAATGACGACAGACAATGTATGTAAATCAAGAACTGCATGTGGGTTTATTTTACATTTGAGAAAACAGTGGATTTAATTGTGTGAACCAAAAGGTACTGTACAATATTAATGATAGAACATCAAAATGTATAATTAATAGTGCATTGCTCGCCTGTTTTCATTTATTTATTTTTGTCTGATAACATGCATCTGGAAAGATGCAGGTGCCAGTGAAATTTCTCTATTTAAATCAAGCTGCAGGAACTAAATTTTATTCAAAAATTGTGGTTTTACATTATATACACAGAAATTTAATATAAAATGACAATATAAAAAGTTAAAAGAGAGAGCACACAGCCAGAAGGTACAAAGAAAGTTGAATAGATTAAAATGGTACGATGTGTAACACGGAGGAGTTTTAAGCTGATGCTGGCAATTTACAAGGAAAGGACTCCAACATTTGCCCCATTTTTTTTTTCATTTACCAATGCAGCACGTTATAGAAAGGTCAGCTTGTACCAAAGCTTACATTTGTAAATGACTATAAACCGCAGTATTTTACAGGAAAAGAGAAATAGCATTTTTATACATTTTTAAATAATAGCTTGCATACTTTTTTTTTTTTTTTTTTTTTGCCAAAAATGGCATTTTTCAGCATCCAGAGGGTTTGGGCATAGTGGCAACTGGGCTGTTTGATGGTAGGTTGGTTTTTTTTTTTTGTTTGTTTTGTTTTTTGTCTTGTTTTGTTGTAAATGTGCAGAGTCCTGGCTTCCTGACCCGAGTCTAGACCCGTCCCACCTCCCCAGCCGCATGCACGCTTCCTTCACTCTCAGCTCTGCATAGCGAAGCTCGCTTTTTAATTATTAAATAAGTTTTGTGTCTGACACAGCTTTTGATCTGAATGAAATGCCTTTAAGCCTTTTTTTTTTTCCTTTTTCTTTTTTTTCTTTTTGAGTGAAAGGCACAGAAATGCGATTGCAGTCCTCAAAGGGTTAAATTTGACACTACCATGTTCTATGACCTTTATTGTCATGGCAACTTTGTAATTTTAGGATGTCTTTTTATCATTGTTATTTGTGTCTTTCTTTCCTGCTAAATAAATGTCTCTGAGCACTGTGCCCCACCATTTCCTACAAAAGATAGCTTAACATCAAGAACAGATGTTGAAAATAAAGGTCAGACTTTGACTCACGGAAAAAGAAAAATAACATGCACAGATCAGACAAAGAGCATATAAATATAACTACAAAATATGTGTAAGAAAAACCAAGGTCCAGAGAGGCAGTTCGGCAAGGAGGGAGGCTGACCGCGAGGCCAGGCCGGGAGGGGGGCCCAGGGTGCGCCGGCGGCCCCGCGGCCCGGCCGCTACTGTTTCTCCAGCTCGGTCACGTAGATCAGGTGGTCCTCCGGGGACTTGCCGTGGGTCTTGCTAAGGTGCAGCTTGACGGCGTGCTTGCTCGCAAAGGTCCGGTTGCAGAGTTTACACTGGAATGTGGAGCCCAGGTCGTCTTCGGCGGCCCCCAGCGGGCCCAGGGCCTTGCCGGCCAGGGCTTTGGAAACGTTCTGCTGTTCCTGAAGTTGACTGAGCGGCAGCTTGGAGAGGTCCTTCAAGCTGAAGCCCAAGTGTGTCTCTAGGTGATTGATGTACGTGGAAGCAGTTCTGAACTGAGAGGCACAATCGTTGCAAAAGAAAACGGGGTGCCCTGTGTCGAGGTTCTTCAGGAACTTGGTCCCCCCGGTCCTCCGCAGCTGGTACTTGACGTTGGCCAGCCAGTGGCTGATGGTGGTCATGGACAGCCCCGTGAACTTGGAGATGTGCACCCGCTCCTGCGGGCCCAGGTCCGACATGATGTACTTACCTTCCGGGGTCTCCCGCAGGCTCGAGGCGAACTGGGCCTGCAGGATGAGCAGGTGCTGGGGGTTCCAGTTGGACTGGCGGCCCTTCCGCTTGTGCACGGGTGACAGCTCGTCCAGCGCCTCCTCGAAGCTGCTGCCGTCGGCGTCCGACTTCTCCGACACCGTGGAGGGCGTGGAGGACTTGGGGGTCAGCCGGCCCGTCAGGTTCTTCACCATGTCCGAGATGTCCATGAGCGCGCTCTCCCGCAGCGGCGAGGCCACGGCGTCGGGCGCGCTGGACACCAGAGGCTTGCTCTTGGACTTGGTCAGGTCGATGGGTTGGTCGCTGCTGTCGTAGTAGTAGCGGTCGATGGCGTCGGCCTGCTTGGCGGGGGCGGCGGGGTACACCGGCTTGTCCAGCATGCTGTTGCTGATCTTGTACAGCATGGCCAGCGGGTCCAGCGAGGGGCTGACAGGCTTGGACACTTTGCCCAGGTGGGTGTTCATGATGGACTGCAGGGCGCTCAGCGGGTTGATGAGGGAGGGCTCGGGCGAGTGGTCCGTGATGATGCCCAGGTTGCCGCAGCCGTTGGTCACTTTGGCTTTCAGGTGCTCGGTGCCGTTGGGGGTGTGGGCATCCGCCGCGGCCTCCTTCCTGGCCTTCGCGGCCTCTGCTTCGGGGCCCTTCTTGGGCTGAGGTTTGCCGCCGACGTCCTCCGTCCTGGGAAAGTCCTTGTTCTCCTTGGCCCCGGGGGACACGGCCTTGGCCGGGGGGCCCTTCTCCTTGTCCGCCGGCCTCTCCTCCTTCTTGACGCTGACCTTGCCGGTGACCTTCTCCACCAGCTCCTCCATGGCCGACACGTTGCTCTTGTGCGGCGGGGGCGTGAGGCTGCCGGGGGAGTGCAGGAGCGCGCCGTGCTCGGAGGACAGGGGCTTCACGCCGCCAGCGTAGGACGGCTGCACCGGCACGGTCTGCACGGCGGGCAGAGGCTTCACGGCGCCGGGCAGCTGGTAGGCGGCGTGGATGCTGGGGTAGCCGCCCCACGAGGGCGCGCCGTTCTGGGCCTTGCTGATGGCAGTGGACACGGTGTTCTCCAGGGACTTGAGGATGTCCACCCCGCCCTTGGGGCTGTCGTCCAGGTCCTCCTCCCGCAGGTACTGGTAGAGCGCGGTGGGCTCGCCCCGGTCGGCCGCGTCCTCGCTCTCCTCCTTGATCTTCCTGTCGGGCTCGCTGGCCGCCACCGGCGCCTTCTCCTTCTCGGGGTCCTTCCTGTCCTCGGTGGCAGCTGCGGGCCCCGCGGGCGACTCGGGCTGCTTTTTGACATGGGCGGCGGGGAGGCGGGTGTGTGTGGTGGGGGGCAGCGGTATGGACTGGATCTTCTCCTCCACCACGGGGTCCAGCACCAGCTGCTTCCCCTTCTTGGAGGCGGAGGTGGTCACCTTGAGGAAATGGCCGGTGACCATCATGTGGGCGGTGAGCTGCTGCAGCGTGTCGTGGGAGCTGCCGCACTCCATGCACTTGAGGATCTGCGCTTTGCGGGCCTCGAACTGCCAGGTGTAGCTGGCGCCGTTCTGGTACCCGTAGCGGTTGTTGGGCGTCACGTAGGGGTTCGCAGACTTCTGGTCCTTGGCCGCCTCGCTCAGTGCCGCCTCGGCGGCGAGGCCTGCAGGCTCAGGGGAGCCGGGGGACGCCAGGTCCTGCAGGGCTCGCTTTTTGGTGGAAGGGACCAGTTTGGTGATGGCTGGTACTGGCTCCTTCAGAGGCACTTTCTGGTAATGCTTTGTCTTGATCATGTGGACACTCAGGTCCTGCAAGGACTCGAACGAGTGGCCGCAGTACATGCACTTGAGCACCTTCTGTGCGTCCTCCTTGCCCTCCATCTCCATCAGGGAGCGCTTCCGGGGCTTGGACCAGCGCTTGGTCTTCTCGGAGTCCTTGTCCCTGTTGTCATCGCGGTAGTGGCCCGTCTCGTTCATGTGCACCGTCAGCTCCACCAGCGTGTCGTAGGCCGCGCTGCAGTCCTTGCACCGGAACTTGCTGGCGCCGGTGAACACGGAGCCGTAGAGCTTGTTGTTCTGCCGGTACAGCTGCACGGTGCTGAAGAGGCTGGGCTCGGGCAGCAGCCCATAGGAGGTGGTCTGCTGCAGCGTCTTGGCCAGGGCGGCCTGGTGCCAGTCGTACCCCGAGCTGCTGCCGCCGCCGGTGCTGGTGCTGGTGCTGGAGCTGGAGCTGGTGCTGGAGCTGGGTGCGCTGGCGGGGGCAGCAGCGGGGCCGGCCGGGCCGGCGGCGCTGGTGGGGGGTGTGGGCGCCGGCGTGGCACCCTCCTTCTGGCCCGCATCGGCGCTGCTGGTGGTCGAACCGGACTTCTTCAAGTCCAACGCCAGGCTGGACCAGCAAGACTCGGAGAAGAGGTTGGCGTACACGGCCTTGATCTGCGCCAAGCTGTCCTGGGGGTAGGAAGCGCTGTCAGGGCCCGGCGGGTCTTCCTTCTCCTCTCGGGAGGAAGAGCCTTTGAAATGAGCCAGCTGGTCACTGCTCTCACTGAAGGGCGAGCCGTACCCGGCGTCCTGGTTGGTGGCGGTGCTGACTGGGGAGTTCTGGTAGCTCTGGGCCTCCTTGATGTCCGTTTCCTCATTGCACACGTAGTCGCCGCCTTCCTGGATGTCCAGAGACAGCCCATCCTCCTCTGTGGCCTCTGCATCTATCTCTGCTGCCTTCAGCTCCTCCTCAGGAACGTAAGCTGGAAGAGAAAAATGAAACAGGGTGAGACGTAAATCATCTCCAAGGACGCCGTCTCCCCAGCAGAGAGAGGATCTTTAGAAAGACGCTCCTCGCCCGGCTCCTGGCCACGCGGCCACCCCATGCAGCACCTCCAGGGACCTGGCACCCCAGGGCAGAAATCAGGCCTCGCCCAGACAAGGTCACCCGCCCACGAGGACACACCCACATCAGCGGAGAGTCCTAAATGGGGGCCACCGCTGTCCCTTCCCAGAGATGCCCCCGGGGCCATCCAGCCCAGGAGCAGACAGCCCGGTCACTGCCCCAGGGCCCTCCCGCCTTCTCCCCTCCACAGCGACACACAAGTCCCTGGCATCATCCAATCAGGCGGGTCCTGGAGTCCACTGTCAGGCCAGAGATCCATAAATAGACGGTATTTCCCTGGTGAAATCACCCCTCAGTGGCCAGCGATAAAAATACTTCCAGCTCCACTAGATGAAGGGGGAAGCTCAGCCCCTGCCCCCAGGAGAAGCCCCCTATGTGGGCCCGGGAGGGTGTGAAGCCGGGCTGTACACAGCAGCAGGTGACCAGCGTCCATGGGCCCGCGTGGCCTAAGCGTACAAGGGAGAATCACTCAGCCCTGAAAAGGAGGCTGTGCCCACTCAGGCAGCCAGGATGGCCCTCAAGGGCACTGCGCAGGGAGGAGCCAGGCAGACGCAGACGACGCAGGTGGCCCGATCCTCCAGGAGCGCATCAAATTCACAGAAAATGGGGGAGGGTTCCAAGCGGGGTGCTCTTGGTGGGCGGAGTCCCAGCCCAGGAAGGCGGCCGCCCCTGGAGGGGTGTGCTCAGCGCCTCCTGGACTTGGTAGCCCCTTAACTTCCATGTTTGGAATCTTTGACCAAAACAAAAATACTTATTTTTCCATTTTAACCACATCCGTCAACAGTCTGCGTTAGGAGCTGCCCGAGGGAGCAGCGCAGCCGCCTCAACAGCCGGGAGTGAGGACGGGGCCATCACGCACCGCATGTTTCACTGCCGGACATTTCAGGCCCTTTGGGGGGTGACCAAGCCTGTTAGTCCTCAGGCCATAATTACACGCGCCACCTCTCCACTTATGTGACCAACATACTTTTATTTCTTGTCCTCGTTTTGAGAGCACAGCTAGGTGAACCCGTGTTCCATCACCAACGTGGGGATTTGGGGGTTAAGACATTTCCAGAAAGTCCCTATTAAAATGCACTGCTATGACCTGCGAGGGGTGTCTCATTAAATATAATCACTCATTATCACATTATCAGAGCCAGATCCTGGGGGAACGTGGCAGAGCGCAGGCGTTTTCCGGGACGTGACAGGAGAGAAAGCGTCCCGGCCGCCCAGAGGGCGCACAGGGCGGGCGAGGAGGCTGGGCAGAGGCGGCAGACGCCAGTGCCCTGTGCACAGGCTGCAGGTGGAGCCTCTCCAGCGGCCTGGGGCCCGCGCACAGTCAACAGTCGGACGCCCTGTCCGGGCACGGCACCCACGACCTCAGCACATGCCGCTCAGCTCACCGCAGAGGCGGGGCCGTGGCCACCAGGGCACTGGGAGGCAGCGCCGTCCACACCTGGCCGTGGTGCAGCCCACGGGCTCAGCCGCAGGCCTGGTGCTCCCGGTAACCCTCCGGCTCCCGGACAATGGGGAGTGGCCGGTGGGTCAGTCTCACTTCACCCACGATGACAACAGGCTGGGAGCGGCCAGGGCTCCGGGGCTCCAGGCCGGGGTCCTCAGCTGGCCCACTTCGGAGCCGCAGCCCCACCGCCCTGGGCCTGCTGCTGTTCTGGGCCCTGGTGTGGACCCGAGGCCCTGCCTGCCCGTCATCGCGGAGTGGGTGTCCTGGCGTGGGCGCGGCCCGGACACGCCCAAGCGGGTCAGGCAGCTCCACACCCAGACCTACTGCGCCGTCCCCAAGCGGGGCCGTCCAGGCCACAGTAGCGGTTCCAGGCCCTGCAGCCCTCGCACCCCGCGCTCCTCGCACCCCTCACTACTGCACGGCCCCCCAGTCCTGCGGGCGCTCCCAGCCCCCCAGGCTCTGCCCAGAGCAGCCCCCAGGTCCTGACTCTGGAAAGTCCACTTGCAGTGCAGTGGCCCCGGCCCCGACCACGCCCTGCGCCCCGGCTGTGGGCCCCGCCCACCGCGACGCCCCCACTCTCAGGAGCGCTGCCTGTCCCCGGGGTGGCTCAGGTGTCATCTTCGCCAGGACGCCTTCCTAATCCCTCACAGGAGTCGTGCTCCCCGCAGAATTGCCATGTTTACCTGTCTGTCTTCTCGGTCACACTGGAGCATCCATTCCTTCCACCCCAGCGCCCGGGCCCCTGGCCGGGCACTTTCACCCACGACCTCTGGGCCCGCACACCCTCCGGGCCCGCACACCCTCCAGGCAGCACCATCGCCGCGATGAGACGCGAGTGCGGAAGCGCGGCCCCGGCCACACAGAACGCCCCCGTGGACCCACCCTGGGCGCACCCCGGGCTGGCCTGTTCGGCCTGGGGCCGGGCCCCGCTCCCCCCAAGGGCTGCTGGAAGATCAGGGGCAGGAGGGCCGACGGAGCGTGCGGCCTGCGCCCTGGCGCCAAGGGGAGTGTCTCCACGAAAACAGCGGGAAGAGGAGATGCTGCTGCACCCCGGCTTCACTCTGAAGTCAGGACGGGCCCAGACAGGCCCCCCCAGAAAGACCCTTCCCTGGGCCCTCCATGAACTCTGCGGGGTGTAAATCCAGACAGCGGGTACGGCGGGCAGCTCCCCCACGCACTGTCCCCCCAACATGGGAGAGAGCCCAAGGCCCTGGGAGTGACAAGGGGAGAAAGTCACGGCCCCTCTCCAGGCCCTGAGCCCGAGGCGGCGCTGCTTCTGGAGGGCACCGGGGCTGCCAGCGGGGAGTGGCTCTTGACAAACACTTTCAAATTCTCCAGGGTTTTCAGCTCCACAAGCGTGGAGGAGCCCGCACCGTTTCTGGAACAGACGCGAAGTCCGGCCAGCAGAGCCTGGGCCTGGGGCAGGAGGGGAGCCAGGGCACGCGAAAAGCTTGGGAAACGATTAGTTTTATTTTTGGAAGGTTACAAAGTAAAGGGGTGAGTGCGACGAGGGCAGGGTGGTAGCTTTCAGTCTAAGGGGTTTGTGGGGGCGGGAGCGTGTCCCCCTCAGCACACCTCCTGCTCTCGCCTCTGTAGCCCCTCAGGGGCCCTGGCCTCGGGCACCTCCACTGTGGGCCAGCGCAGCCCTTGGCCTTCTCCACACCCCCAGGACCCCCGCCCGCGGGTAAGCTGACACCCTCGGTCAGTTCACGGCCAGGGCTGCCGTCCTTCGCTCCGTTTGCTCTAATTACTTGCAAGGACATGCAGGTCTGGGTCACTCCAAGGTCTGCCCTGTGCCTGCACCTCAAGGCTCTGCCCACCAGGCCCGACTTGGCTGTCCTGTCCCCTAAAGCTTCCAGTGCCTGAGGCCAAAGGCAAATGGGGGTGCTCCGCAGAGCACCTGAGTCTCCCCACCCCTCTCGGGGGCTGTGCTGAGCTGTCAACACTGCCATTACTCTGGAGAGCCCGGCCCTTGTGAGGACACAAGCCTTTAATGGGGCAGGGGCCAGCTGCCGCCGTGACAGAGCCAGGGAGCTGATCTCAGCCCGGTCACCATGGACGCCGTGTCCACCCTGCCCCCTCGCCCTCTGTCCTCTGTGCCCAGAACCCCCCGGGGCCAGGGCGGCTTAGGTCAAGACCGAGACAGTGACAGTAACAAAGAGGCAGCACCCCTGGCCAGCCCGCGCTGTGGGCACCCGCCCAGCTCTGAACCAGCTCTCGGACCTTCTCTGTCTGACCCCTGGGCAGCTGGGGTCCCCTCTACTCCCCCAGGTCAGGGCTGGCTCCCACCTCTGCCTCTCCCCAACCCCAGCTTTAAAATCAGCTCCCCAGTGTATATCCGTCAGTCCTCCTGTACTGCTCCCCACTCTGTCTCTGGTGACTCCTCTCACCCCCCACTCCGGCCTGCACCCCAGCTCTTGTGTGCATAAATAAATAAATCTTAAAAAAAATAATAAAACCAGCTCCCAAGCCGCCAGGCCACCCCAGGCTCTATCCTTCCCAGGAGGGCACACGCCTCCCTGGGGAGCTAAAATCTACTGGGCTTCATTTAAAAAGTTTGGGGCCTGGGGAGGAGAAGGTCAGGTCTCACAGGATCGGGGCGGGGCGGGGGCGGGGGGGTGGAGCGAGGTTCCCTGGGGCGGGAAGCCAAGACCAAGCAGCAGGCGGCCAGGCCCAGCTCAGGTGGAGGCCCTTGGAGGTACCTGATTGGTCAGGGAGATAAGCTCCCCAGGCCACAGCGGCAGGTGCAAGGACCCTGGGCACCTGGGGTGACGGGGCTGGGTCAGTGGGTGAGGCCGGGGCCGCTAAGGGGGGGTGGTCACTGCCCTGCTTCCCTAGGGACAGAGACCCAGCGTGATAGGGATGTGAGGCCAGACATACGTGGACAGGCCCATGGGCGAGAGATGGGTGCACCCCAGCCAGTCTGAAGGTGGTTAAGCACCACACATTCCCCAGGCCTCAGTTTCCCCAACAGTGCCTCGTGATGACCGTGGGGGCCTTGGGGCTGTGGGGGTTTCTCATGTGGCAGCAACAGGCTCTTACTGTCAAGTCCCACGCTGCAGGCCGGTCCTCCCTCCTCACACCTCGAAGCCCCACAAATTAATGAGGACAGCATGGGGCAGGGGCTGCCCTCCCACGGGGTCAGAGAGCGCTGCTGAGCCTCCTGCCACGCCACTGAGGACCCTCGGAACAAAGCAGTGGATGCTCGTCCCCCCCAAAGCTGACCATCACTAGCTCACGTGTGGGCCAAGAACTTCCCAGCAGACGTGAAATTGGAAGCCCTGGGCTGCTCTGGAAGTAGTTACAATCATCCCGCCTGCTCCTTCCCCTTCCCTCCTGCCTCGAGGGGCTGGGCGGGGAGGGCCTGGCGCTGAGCAGAGGCGCAGCTAGGGCTGTTCCTGGGAAGCGATGGG